TGACTCCTGTAGGCTTTCAAAAAAGGATTATCTTTTTACATTAGGAAGTATCATTTCCTGCTTTACTAAGAGTTTTTATTGCGAATGGATGTTGACTTTTACTGACTGCCTTCACTACACCTATTGAGATAATCATACAACATCTTGAAACCATTAACTCACTATCCAACTGTGTTTAATTGTTGTTCAGCCCGTCCACTGAGTTTTTAATCTCAACAGTTAAATGGTTAAGTTCTAGGTGCTTCTTTTTCAGATGTGCCTGATCATTTGCAATAGTCTCTTTGCCTTGCTTATATTTTTTAAATAACAGCTTTATTGAGATATAATTCCCAGACGATAAGATTCACTCTTTGAAAGTATACAGTTTGGGGGAGGGTATAGCTCAAGTGGTAGAGTGCATGTTTTGCATGCACGAGGTCTTGGGTTCAATTCCTGCTGCCTCCATTAAATAGGTAAATAAACCTAATTACCCTCCCTCCCAAAAAAAAACTAAAAAAAAAAAGAAAGTATACAATTCATTGGCTTTGAGCATATTCACAGAAGCTGTGAAACCACTACCACTATCTAATTCTAGAATATTTCTTTCGCCTCCAAAAGAAACCATCTACCCATTAGCAGTCGCTACCAATTTCCTTCTACCCCGTCTCCCAAAGCCCACTATTTTCTGGTCTCTATGGAGTTGCCTATTCTGGACATTTCATATAAATAGAATCATACAATGTATGGCCGCCTTTAACTGGTTTCTTTTATTTACCCCAATGTTTCCAAAGTTCATCTGTGTTGTAGGAAGTATCAGTACTTTGTTCCTCCTTATGGTTGAACGATTCCATTGTGTGGGTCTGCCATGTTTTGTTTATTTATTTACCAGTTGATGGACATGTGGCTTGTTCTTACGTTTTTGGCTGTTAGGAGTAATGCTGCCAAGAACATTCATGTACTAGTTTTTGTGTCGATGTGTATTTTGTTTTTTCTTGGTTATATACCTATACATCTAGGTCACGTGGTAACTCTACGTTTAACAGTTAGAGGAGCTGCCAGACTGTCTTCCAAAGGGGGTACACT